TAAGCTTTCTGGTTGACCTCTTTGCTTACCTGCTGCTGTCAATGTTCTTGTCTCATTTGCTGGGTTCGTTTTCTCAATTCAACTTCCAAATTAAGAATTTTGAAGGGTCTTATGAAACAATTTTTCCTCTTACCTAACTAACTTCATTCTGTCATCAGAGGACTTTTTTTTTTTTTTTTGTCATGAGGCTGCCAATATCATCACTGTGGTGATTTCTCTACAATTTTAACTCAGACAAGACCACTTTTTAAAGATACATGTACAATTCCTAATTGAAATCTCTACTTGGATATCTTATATTTAATCTGTATCTACTTCAATCTGTTTTTCAGTGTTACCCTATCTTATCTCATGAGATAAAAATCAACATATTTCCCTTCTCAGAATTATAGAAAACAAAATTTGAGACATTTTTATTCCAATTCATTGCTAAGATTAGTAACATTTTCTGAACATGTGTTAGTCACAGTCCACACCATGTTCTCAACCCATATGATTTCTTCTTCAGTACTCAAATGGACCCACATGCCATTTGCTAAAACAATGAAGGAAATTGTTGCAGAAAAAGCTTAACAGTGTTTTAAAGGGCAACTAGCACAGAAGGAGAATACCCAGGATTTTAGCTTAAATTAATTCTTAACTCGATGTTTTTTTTCTTTCTTTTCTTTCTTTCTTTCTTTTTTTTTTTTTTTTTTTTTTTTGGATGTTGATATTTCCAAGGCTCAGATACAAGAGATTTTTTTTAGGAGGGAAGATAGAATACACAATTTTCTGTGGGGCTAGAAAATTAATAAAAGTTATCAGAGTTGGATGGGTTAGGGCTATCAAGGATAAGAAGTATTTTTATATGATTATTAAGTAGTCTGAGTCAAGCTGAGTGAAATGCAGGCTTCATGGTAGGAAAGTGCACCATGAATTCCTCCAGTGAAAAACCTAAGCCGTACAAAACATAGTATAGCACATCCACAAAGTGTACCTCTATCATCAGAATGTGATACAGACAAAAAACAGGTATAAATATCTATAATATGAGCCTCATTTCATAGGGACTGGAGAAGATAAATCACAAGGATTCCATCCCAGTCCTTCACTGGGGCTTAAGATCAAATGAAGAAATTAGGCAAAAGATTTGAGGAAGCTTAAAACATGTGAGAAATCAACTCCATGCATTAACAATAAGAGAATTCATCACTAGGGACCAACCATCCAGCAAGCTGAATTTTGGAAGCTTCTTCAGGTCTCACATATTTGGAAAGGAACCCAACCTAAATTCAAATAATTTGGAGAAGAAAAAAATGAGGACTAACTTTTGAAGTGGATCTATATTGGGTCCATGTTTTGATGAGATGTTTGTTTTACATGAGGATCCAGATGAACACTACAAAGTGTATTTCTAAAATTATAAAAATGTCTAATATAAAGGCTGAAATGTATAGGTGCGGCCAATGCATTTATATATGATTTCAATGTACCATCAGGAAGATGATTGTGAGGGTAAGAAATAGTAGTCATATTAGAACCCACGGTCTTTATTTTTGAGAAAATAAAAATTAACCCATAGAATATAGGTAATATACTTGTGAAGAGGGCCCTTATAACTAGTAACTTACAAAGCAAAGAACACATAGGTTTTCAAAGTTTAGGTTTTTTACTGACACCTACTGATGTAGTGTTGTTTATAATGACATAACTGGTTGCATAACTATATGCAAGGTTAGGGGTCTAGAAACAGCATATAGATGCATATGCTGTAATTTCACAAATGCCTCATAGCAAATTTCCCCCAAAAATAACAAGGGAACTGCTAGTTGAGGACAAGAGTTATGTATTCACATCTCCAGGGACACACAGTTTTCAAAAATAATAACCTGATATGTCTGAGCTTTGAAATCTGGAACATATTTTATGTATTGCATAACCTCCCTGTGGAGCTGAGCCAGCATCCTAGGATCAATCATTATTTACGAATATGAGGAATACATTAGTCTCTTGTCAGGTATAGCTATATTTTTTCCTAAGTAAGTTTGAATCAGTTTACACTTTGTCGTTCCAGAATATGCTAACACGATTTAACAAACCTAATTTCAAAAGTGCATCTAGGACTTGACGGTTCTCTCTGGGAGAATCCCGGTGACTAACAGTGACACCTAGTGGCTGTTAGTTATCCGCTCCTAGGAATACGTGCTAAATTTTACTGTTGAATTTAGTCAGATCAGTATCTTGGGCCAGGAGCTGGGAAACAGATCAGAATCTCCATCTTCTTCATTAGCTTACAAACAGAGGCATGCATGTGTCATCAATACTGTGTTAGTTTCGCTTGAGAAAAACAGGGTAAAGGAGAAGACGCCCTTAATCAGAATACAAATAAGCCTCTCTGGAAGAGATATCCGAATGAAATCTTCATGGAGACAAAAAGAAGAAAAAGGATCACATTTTGTTACAAAGAGAGTACAGGGTAGAAAGCAACAGCAGGTATACAAACTGATGGAATTATTGATGTACAATGTAGCAAAACAGACCTAGCAGCATCCTGAATGCCAAATGATGCCTGCTTGTTTCTACTTGTGGTACTCTATTTGGTTTAATTTATTGTTTTCTAATATTACATCTTAATAGAAAATAAAACTAAAGTTATGTATTATACCTTGTGTTTATAAAATAACTATTGAATTTTTAAAATGAAATAATCTCAAAATAATAGAGAATATTATTAAAAATTATTTGTGAATAATAATATAAATGTAACATACAGCCAAAGATAGGCATAAAGATAAACTGAGTCACAATGAAACACATTTTACAACAACTAGAAGCTGTTCACCTAATCAACTTTACTAACAAGGTGTTGTAGATTCTAGTTATTAGTGTTGTTGTTGTTATTGGCTAACATTACTGTTTTATCTATTTATTTATTCATTCATTCATTTATTTTACATCCTGATTGCAGCCCCTCTCCTCTTCTTCCAGTACCTGCCTCATGCATCCCTCCCCCTCATTCTTTTTTTTTTCTTTTCCTCAGAGAATGGGGAGGTCCCCCACGGGTACCCACCCTGGCACTTTAAGTCCCTGCAGGATTAGGTGCATCCTCTCCCACTGAGCCAGACAAGGCAACCTGGTTAGGGGACAGGATCCAAAGGGAGGCGTCAGAGTCAGAGAGGGCTCCCACTCCAGTTGTTAGAGGACCCTCATGAAGACAAAGCTGGACATCTGCCACAAATGTGCAGGGGCCCTAGGATCAGTCCATGTATGCTCTTTGGTTGGTGATTTAGTTTCTGTGAGCCCACATGAACTCAGGTTAGTTGACTCTCTAAGGTATTCTTGTGGGGTCCTTGACCCCTCTGGCTCCCTCAATTTTTCCCCCAACTCTTTTGGACTCCCCAACCTCTGATTAATGTTTGGCTCTTTCCTACCAAGCTTGTCCTTACACAAGTTAAACTGATGGCTGTGGAGCTCTAGGCAAGATACCTTATCTGTGTCACCCTTATCTACAGGTAGGACATTTCCCTTTCTCAGCCCCAGGTCTGGTCTTGTTATTCACATGACCTCAGTACTCATATAGTCCCCCTTATATGCCCCAACATAAAGGGATAGTGGATTTTTGTTGACAGAAAAACATTTTTTTTTGTGGACACATCCCACTAGTAGCCAGGTAATGGGCCATTCACTGGCATCTGGCAAAAACAATGATAGCAAATTTTAAAATGAGGTACAGGGGTTAAAAACTGACTTAGATGAAGAGAGGACCCTAACTAAAATGTTAAATCCCCATCCTGAAAGGCAAAGAGGATGGACATCAGAAGAAAAAGAAAATAGGAAACAACCTCGGAACCTGCTACAGAGGGCCTCTGAAAGCCAGAAGAAAACAGGAAACAACCTTGAAACCTGCCACAGAGGGCCTCTGAAAGCTTCTGCAGTATAGACTGTCAAAGCAGATGCTGAGCCTGATGGCCAACTGTCGGGCAGAGTGAATGGAATTTTATGTAAGAAGTGGGAAATAGTAAGAGATGGAGGGGACGGGAACTCCACAAGGAGAGCAACAGAACAAGATAATTTGAACACAGGGAACTTCCCAGAAAATCATACTCCAACCAAGGACTATTTGTGGAGATGACCTGGAACCCCTGCACAGGTGTAGCCCATGGCAGTTCAGTGTCCAAGTGGGTTACATAGTAATGGGAAAAGGGACTGCCTCTGACATAATCTGATTGGCCTGTTCTTTGATCAGTTCCCCCTGAGGGGGGAGCAGCCTTACCAGGCCACAGTAGAGGACAATGCAGCCACTTTTGATGAGAACTGATAGACTAAGATCAGAAAAAAGAGGAGAACCTCCCCTATCAGTGGACTTGGGGAGTGGCATGCATGCAGAAAGGGGAGGGAGGGTGGGATTGGGAGGGGAGGAGGGAGGGGCTTATGGGGGGATACAAAATGAATAAAGTGTAATTAATAAAAAAAAACTGACTTAGAAAGGTCAAACATTATATTCTGCTTGGTTTTTCTTCATAGTAGTTTCTTTGCTTTTGTTTCTGGCCTTTAAGAATTGGGTGATCTGACAAAAAAGACATCTAGATATCAGTTTCTATTGAACAACTGAAGACCTGAATTAAACACCACCACCACCACCACCACCATCATCAGGAGACTAGGAACCCTATTTGTTCACTATGGACTCGTATCACCAGCACGCCCCAAGACTTTCTAGGACTAGCCCTTACTCTGGCAGCCAGGAATTTACCTTCAGTACCTAGGGACTGATTCTTGGCTTTCTGGCATAAATGTATGCCATTGACCAAAGTTTGCCAACTTGTACCAGATGGTTCTGATATTTCTCTAATGTATGCTTCAATTGATGAAGTTTGTAGTTCTTGTTTGTTTATTTGTTGCTTACAAATTGGCAAGTTATTTACTCCTTCATGGGAGTCAGAGTAAAGTAATAAATTTCATGTCACTGATCAAATCAAACTGAAGCAGAAGATGTAAACAGGGGACTTCTAGGTTTGGGTCTAGAGTCTGAGTCCTTTTAAAGTGTTGACGGCTTTCTCCTCATCCTTTGGATCAATAAAGTTAGTAAATCCACTCTCTAAACTCTGACCTGTAATTTTGCCTCTTGTAAATTTGAAGGATGCTACTTCACCATTGTTCCAAAAAAGACCATTGAATTGTTCTTGGGTCATATTCTGGGGGAAATAGTTGACGATGAAGGTGGTTTTGCTGTCGTCTTTGGCTGCGTTTGTGTGCCTGTGAGAAGGACATTTTCTATTGTTGCCAGAGAGCCCATTGCTTGCATTGGATGTAGGTCTGTTTGACACCCAAGGCTTCAGAATGCTAATTGTCATCATATATGTAACTTATGTGGCTCCACTTCTGATACCTCAAGAACTTTCTTCTTGGCCTCGGGTCAACTGTAGCATTCCAGAAGGCTGGTTCTGGATCCTCATTGGAAGTGCAGTGGAGGCCAGGTGGACATCGGTGGCCCTAAGCATGTCAGTAAAATCAGCTGGCACTAATTCCAGTGCCTCCCACTCTGATTCATTAATATATATCATTTTTCTATTTTTTATTTTATTTTATTTTATTTGTTGCATCTATGTCGTAAGATTCATTTTGGTAATTTTTAGCAACGTATTTGAAATATTTAGATATTCTTGTTCAAATCTTCTAGATCATAGATAGCTTCATTTTCTATTTTGAGTGAACAATAAATATGCATTTTTGTGTTTGATTTGAGTCTCTTGTGCCACCTCCAACAGAACTACAGATTGTCTCCCTCTCTCCATGGTTTCTGATGTCCAGAGGTTTATGCAAGGTACATGAAGATACTACCACTGAGCTTTATTCCTAGCACGGAGATGTGCTGTTTGGGCATTTGTGTGGATGAAGCCAGAGAGTAATAAGTTTGACGCCAAACTGGGTGACATTGTGGATCTTGCCTATCTGCAGAAAAGTCTGCTTGAAGATTTAAAGCAGATATTCAAAACCATGAGTTAAATGGAAGGAGTAAGTAATGGAACAAAGACAGAGAGTCCAGAATAGAGTAAGATAATTTTAGAAGAATGTTTCTTTTCCACTTTCATGCGTAAACTCTTCTGTTCTGCAGAGCAGAGGCTGCAGGGATGGCTACAGACTTATTCCTTAAGTGTTGTTAAGAATATGGGTAATCTAAAACTCCTATTTATTACACCTGGAAGAAGCACACATGCACATCCCAAGAACAACTCTTGTTATAGAGAAACAGATGTTACAAGAGTTTTGTCCTGCTTCCTTGGAGTTATCTCTCAGAATTATCTTCACATAGCTTCACTCATGGACCAGGTTTCAACAGGTTGGATCTTTTACATACACCCATATATCTTTCTTTGTTCTGATTTCATAAAACCGGGTATCTTTGTTCTCCTTATAGCTTTTATTTGGTTTTTATACATGCAAACAGACAACTGGGCATTTTGTCAATTCTGTAACAGCTTCAGAAGTTTTGTTCAAAACTTCAACAAATTTTCTAATATTTCTGAGCACAGTGTTCATAGTTCAATAGATCTCTTGCTCTTGAAGTGTTTACTTTTCTTTCATTTCATTTTAAATGTCATGAATTTAGTTTCCTTTCCTGTGACTTTAGAATATTTTATCCGATGTTAGGATATTATATTCAGCTGCAGCGTTATTTTGCTGGTCTATTCTGACCCTCTGTATGCATGCAACAATCCTTTATGAAACCTTGTATTTTATTTTCTTGTTATTGCTATTGTAAAATTTAAAGATACAAAATTATAAATTATACACTCTTAGAAAAGACATGTTGATTCTTCCTCCAGTAGAAGATACGTGGAGTATGATTGTCTTATGATATTATACTTTATATATGATATTATACTTTATAAACCTAGAGAATTACACAGTTAATCAGTGGAGACAGGCAGCTAATGTACACATGGTTATGTAATCCCAAATCAATTTTTAATTATATTAATATAGAAATTCTTATATGATATTTACCTACACTGTGAAGTCTTCCATGCATTCTTGTAAAGAAATGAAAGTCTCCTTTTCATTCACCGATCCCACTTTTCAGAAAAAGAATTGAAAGTTTTGCCTTTTTCCTCACAATTTGCTCAATTTATGATGTTTATAAATGCATATATTGGTACTGGAGAGTTGGATCAGTGGGTAAAAGCACGCACTGCTCCGGCAGAGGACCTGAGCTCAGTTGCTGGTACCTCTATCAGGGGACTCACTATCACTATCTACAACTCCAGCTCCAGGGGATCCAACCCCTTTTGACCTGCCCAGGCACCACACTCACGTGTACATGTCCACACACTGACACACACACACGTATTTAAAAATAAAATGACATAGTTAACATTTCCTTAATGTGTCAATATGAATATCTATGTTTACATTTACGTGATGCACATACACAGATACAATTTTTGCTTCATATACAATGTGTAACATGCCTTCACTTGAACGTATGACACATTTTCTTGCAAAGATGAATAGCATCTTGTTAGATTGTTTAGCATTTAGTGAAACCCAGATATATACGTATATATTGCTGTGTGAATGTATACACAGGATTACATATAAATATTCATATTCTATTTATATGTGATAGGTAAAAAATAAAAAAAACTATATGACAGTTTATTTTCATTTCTTTCCTATACTTTCTAATTTTACAAATAAACTTGTGTAATTTTGTTAACATTTCATCTCTCAAGTCATGTTTTCCCTCCTTAAAATTTAATGAACACTCCTTACCAACTTTGTGCCCATCCTGACTTGTGCTGACGTCATTCCCTCTTGTTTCAAAAGAACTTTTAACATTGTGTCATGCTTTATTGGTTCCTGCAGCATTTGCCCTGGTATAAAAGCTGTATATAAAGATCCAATCTTTGTGTGTTTTCATACTCTATCATTGTTTATGTGAAATTGTCAATGAAGACCATGCCTAATCTCAGTCGATTGTCCCTGTCCTCCCAAGTTTTCATGCTTACACTTCATTTTAACTCTATTATTATCTGTTTATTCAAGAATAAATTCTCATCCATTTAGGTCACACACAACAGGCTCAATTTTTTTTTTCTTCATGTGTCCATACAGAGATCTCAGTCATCTCTAGTAGCCTATGTCTATGCCTGGGTAACCATGTAGTCCAAAGTAATTTTAAAAATGCAAGTTATAATTAAACTGGCCATGGCATTGATTAGACTGGGCTTTTGGCCAACTTACCTCCATGACCTTGGTTTTTGGCAGTCCTGGGAAGGTAATTTCTGTTGAGCAGAAATTAAATGTTTTTCTTCAATGCTCTTAAAATCCTGACTTATTACCTCCTCAAAAGAAAGCTAATATCCTGCTAAAGAAAAAAGGAAACTGTGTGTGAATCTAGGTAAGGTTCATCTAAACAGATTTTATATCATGACTGTCCTTTCTCTTTTATTTGTCACCACATTGTAACAGGACTTTCAGACCCACCAGTGGTTCAAACAATGATTCAGAGACTTTAACATTTTAAAGCTTAGGCGTTTTGGCTGGGCAGATTCCCAGCCAGCCTTCTAGCTTAACCCAGCTAAACATGGCACTATATCCCGCAATGTGGCTAGCTCTACCTCTCTGCTCCTGTTCACATCTGTCCATTCACCCTTGTCCCCCTGGTAAATCTTTGTTTTCTTTTTCAAGAGACCCTCTCTCTCCTGGAACTTCCTCCCTCCACTTTCTGCTCAGCTCTTGCTGGCCGTCAGCTCTTTATTATATACAATCGGCAAGTGAGGAAGGACGAATGTTTACAAAGTATGAGACTGGTGGTGGGCCATAGAAATAATGATACCAAGATCTGGATAGTAGGCTAACACTTAGCTCTCTGCTGGTTTAGCAATCAGCAATTGAATACACAGAGACACAGCTTCACACAATGTATCTCAACACTTTATCCATGTGATTTTTCAGAACTTTTGTATCAACCATTTTACATGTTATGAAGAAAGAAACCAAAAATCTCTCTCCTGGACTCACATTGATACATTCCACCCCCCTCCCCAAAATGAATAACACAGACTCACTTTTCTTAAGCCACCACTTTAATGGTAAGAGTTGTTACTGTTAGTTATTAATTTACTTTGTGCGTATGCATGAGTGTGTGCTGGGACCTACACTCACTCACGTGTGGAAGCCAGTGGAGGATCTAAGGCATACTGTGTTCTATGTTTGCTTTACTCCTCTGAGAGTAAAGAGTGATTCTGTCACTGAATCAGGAGATCGACTGGAGACCTCCGGGCTCTCTATTTCTACCCTGCCTCCAACATGGGGTTTACAGGTGTACCAGATTTTTGTGTCCATGTTTGAGATGTGAACTCAGATTCCCATGTTCTTGGCTGCTGAGGAATTTGTGTATCCTCTGAGGAATTATGATTTTTTTTAATACATGCACCATTCTGCTCAAAACAATTAGGCAGAAATATTCTCTTCTTTGGCAAGAATACCAGTAATGCTCTTTAATGCTTTTACTAATATGGATGTGACTTGGCTGCTGGCATCTTTGCCATTTGCAACCCACAGCTCACAGTAACCAACAACACAAAAATATTTCAGCACCATATTATCAATTAAAGATTCATGATTTATTTGGTAATATGATCCATTAAGTTGAGAATCCACGTACATTTTTGAGAAAATTGCATGTCAATAAGCATATTTTCAACTACAGACTAAAATTATTCACTTGTACTATACTGGTGATAACTTCCAAAATGGGATTTAAGTAATTCAATATTAGCCATATAAGAAATCATTTGCTTATCATCTACCAAAATGCATTTTTTCCTCTGATCTGAGGTATGTTGCTTCAGTTTGTTAAGTACCTGATTTCTAGGGGCAAAATTACATCTAGATTTTCTCTTTACCTCTCAAATGATCATGTCCAATAATTCTATAATGATATATGTGGAATGGGTTCAATTCTCACCTGAAAACCAGGGGGAAATGAGTCTTCTAAAGAATCAAGGTGTTTCCTTGAATCCCACAATGAACAGAAAATCATCCTATTGTCCTTTTATGCCTTTGGCTACCAGAAACCTCACAATCTAAGTTTATGTTCAATTGCTGTAATTTTCTTATCCTTCCATGGGTGTGTAATATATAGTCTCTACACTTGAATTAATTTCTAGTTCTTGAAATTGGCTTTCCATGTAGTCTGTATCATTTATGTTAAGCCACTTCAACTCTTTTGTGGCTAGATCATTAGGAGAATGGATATAATTATTTCCACTTTGCTGTACTAGCTATATTATGTTTGTTTTTAATTGCATATTTTTCAGCTTTTATAATGAAAGATTGTTTTAATTAT